GATTTCCAGTTCATGCATATGCATCAGGATAAAGCTTTGACTGCATGATATTTTAACACCAGGAAATGAGACACTGTTTAATAAATATTCATTTCATGAGGCTACCATAATGGAACTTTCCTGCCTTCACCCCCCGGTCCCACAGGCATCAACAATTTTCTTTGCCTTTGAAAATGAAAAATACCGATTTCCAAAATCCTTTCAAACCTGTTTTGGTAGATTTTTCTCCAATTGTTCCTAGAACTTACAAATCAAATGGTTATTTTTTTCTCTCGTCATGGTCTTAACCAATTGGATAAACATCCAGATTTAAAATTCTGATGAAATCTTCCTAATTATTTCAACGTTAAAAGATATTTTTTGTCTGTATAGTTTACACATACATTTTGAAGAAGCATCATTAAGATATTGTCATCTTTTTGATCAGTTGCTTTTACTTTTCAGGCCCTGTTGGTAAAACTTGATCCATTCACTGGATCAAGTCTAACTGCCTCCGCATGTTTTTCTATGTTCCTTTTCTCTCCCAGAAAATTCCTCTACTTTTACCTTTGACTCCTATTCATTCCACCTACCCTTCTCAGTCTCAGTACGTCCTACCTTTATCAGGAAACCTTTCCCACGAAGTTCACTGTCATTAAGCTCTTTGATTTTCTGTAGTACTTAGTCTGTTTCACCTCATTTAGATTGTCTGTTAATTTGTGTTATTTTAAAAAATGGATTTTGTGTGGTATAACAGAGCCTCCTGGAGACCATGCATGGCATAATGGAGCCAGATGGTGTCCGATTTGAGTATAGCATCGTCATTTTCTAACTTTTTGGCATTCGGCAAATTATTTAAACTTTGTGGGTTTCAGTCTTCTTAAGTGTAGAATGGTACAATTGTCCACCTGCTGGAGTTATTAGGAGATCATAGCTAATAGGCTAGATAAATGTTTATTTTAGCTCAAAGGCAGGAATATAACAGGTGCTCAGTAAATGGCATTAGCAGTGACTATTGCTGTTGGTCTGTGTTTCTTACAGCTCCCAAGGTAATCTTGGAGCTGAGCACGTGGGAAGGTAGCACTGGGTGTGGTTCACGGCTGGGTCACTGAAATAGCTCCTGAAATCCCATCACTTTTATGGAGGCTTTTCATGGCTTCTCTGGACTGTTCTTTCTGTCCCCATTATCTGTGAGGGGAGCCTCTGGTATGTGTTCTGAAGTGGCTTCCAAAACAGTGATTTGAAAGATTTATTTATTTATTTTTGAGTAATGTTTTGGCTTGATCCCTGCATTTTTCTAAACGTCAGCAGCCAGGATCGTAATAAATAAAGCACTTACTTCCAATGCAGTGTGTGAAACCCACAGAACCAACTCTCAGCCCATCGAGCTGAGATGAATAAATTATTTTACCTAGCTTCAGCTCAACACACATTTATCAGTGTATCTCCTGGGTGCCGGGCATTTCGTCATTGTAGGATTTACCGAGATGAACAAAATCGGCTCCAGCCTGTGAACGAGAGATGTGAAAACTGATCATTTCAATTGATAATTAGTTGTAAGGTGGAGGTCTGGAAGGGGTCACAGATGGAGGGTGGTTGAGGGGAAAGAGAAGGCTTCTAGGAAGACATGATCCTCAGCCTGTGATGTCTCTCGGAGGACAAAAGGGATGATCCACTTGACGCAGGGACAGAGACCCAACTCAAAGAAGCTTCAATGTCTATGGGGATTTGTTGCCTGCAAAGTTCACAGGTAGGATCGACTCCAAGTGGGCCTGACACACTGGTCAAACCAGGTCTTCCGTGGCCTGTTTCAACTGTGCCCGTGTAAAAGTCAAGTGGCCTCCGTGATTCCATACCTGACCCTCCTCACACGCTTTTCCCCGAGGGGGAAGAGGAGGTTTTCCTCTATTCAGCTCAGTCTAAGGATTTAGTTTCTCCATTGGCTATAAATTATACCAGTCCCTGAGCCAATCACTGGCTAGATAAACTTATTGGTTTCCATAAGTCAGGACCTACCCTCAAGCTGAGAATAAAGTGAGTCTCAGTCAAACCTCATGGTTACAGCTGAGTGAAGAGGGGGATGGGTGACCAGGAGGCAGCCAGCAAATGTTTCCTAGACGAGCGGAAGAAAAATGAAAGTGTCCTTCAGGGAAAGGTAATGACATAAGCAACAGCAGGGAAGCGTGCCCCGTCACAGTGCGTGTGGGAGACAGCGAGCAGTTCAACACTAATTCAACATGTCATATGAGACTTAGACAATAATTATAGAATAATAAGGATGGTTTATGTAGCACCTGTTGGATCTAGTTTAGTACCTTATTTCATTCGATTCTCACAACTAAGGTAGGTATGCCCTCTTGTCGGTAAAGAAATTTGAGCCCAAGCTCACAGCTAATAATTGGTGGAGCTGAACTCCAACCCACATGGACGGTATATTAAGTACTCTCCTCTGTATTGCCAGAGTTTCAGAAACAAGACCTCATATACCATGCTAAGGAGCCAAGTTTTCTCTGGGGCTCCAGTGTTCTACTTGAGCATGCATCCAATAGCCTCTAGGGCTTGTTAAAAACTGCAGTTGCTGGGTCCTAACACCAGATGTTCTGGCTCAGTAGATCTGGAGTGGGACTCTAGAATCTTCATTTCTTCGAAGTTTCTAAAGGAAGCTGATAGCTGGTGGTCTGGGAGCCCCACTTCGAGGACCACTTGTTTGAGGTCTTTGGGAGACTGAAGATTTGTGATTGAATGATATTCGACATATTGAAATGCTGCTTGGAAATACACATGGTCTCACCTCACATCCTTTAATAATGCAGATATCAAGAGTATATTTGGTTTCAGTAATATCCGTCTTCAAAGGTCAAGGTCATTGCATAAGTGTTTCATTGATTGAATTTCTTTCGTGTCTCTGATTCTTGACTTATTAAAACTGGATTTATCACTCTCCTTCTAGATCTTGCTCAGCTCGTTAATGCTCAGTTCCCCCTGGAGTGTTAAGAAAGAACATTTGTATACAAAAGACATATATTTAAACACTTTATTTTATTGGGCTACATTTTTAGTATGAAAAAATTTAAATATCAGGAAAAGTAACATGGACACTCATTTCCACCATCTAGTCAACAGTTGTGAATGTATGTACATGTGTAGACACATATTTTTTTGATGAGCCATTTTAAGATAAGTTACAGATCTGGTGCCACTTCACCATAAATATCACAGTGCGCACCGCCCAGGAGGAGCGTTCTCTTAGGTAATCACAGTCCCCTGAGCACGCTTGTGGAAGTTAACGGTTCTTAGTGTTATCCAACACGTAGTCATATTCCAGTTCCTGTATCTGCTGGTTTTTTTTGTTTTTTCTTTGGTACCAGGATTCAATCAGGTGAAACTAAATCCTAAAATTTAGCATTGCTAGATGGACCTTTAGGCTCAGATAAATTCTGCTATTTAAATAACAGGTTTGATTGCTTTAATAAAGACCCAACTGAATGATGGCTTAAGTAAGGAAGATGTTTATTTCTGTCCTATTTAACCACCTGGACATCAAGTGGTCCAGGGCTGGTGGGTGAGCTCTGTTGTACGCAGTACGTGGCTCCCGTTGCTAAGGCCTAGATAGCTGCTCCAGCCCTGCCACAGTGCTGGGGAGAGGGGACAGGGGTGCACGCTCGGTCCTTTTAAGGGCATGTTTAGAGGTTGTACATGTCACCTTTGCTCCCATCTATCGGTGAGAACATAATCATGTGATGTGCCTGTATTAGAGGCCTGGAAGAGAAGCTTTTGTTCTGGATGGCCACGGGTCTAGTGATAATTCAGGCATCGAAAGAAAGGGTGACAGCTGGGGCAGCAGGTAGCATCTCTGCCACAAGCTCTGCTTTTTAAGGACTGAGCTATTCAAAACAATATTAATCACTGCAAGTACATTGAGTGATATAGGTCTAGTAATTGCTCCTGCGCTGAGCCCAGAATGTTCCTTTCAAAAAATTATTTTGCAGATGTTCTGTCTTCTTTTTTGCTCAGGTGTAGCTGTCATTGTTGACAGCTGTCTGTCTTCACACTTTTCTAATTTGCTGTTTTCTCTGAGCTGGGGAAGCAGGTAACAATAATCGTCGTCATAAAGCTGTGGCGTATTGTGCGTTCTGTCCAGGTGGAGACTTGTACATCTTATCTCTGACTCTGGAACTCTTGTACAGAAACAGTTGTTTTACAAATGGGGAGGCTGAAGCCCCTGGGATATCAGTAACCTGATTCTGAGAACTACATTGTTAGAACCATAATATATATTAGTGAAAAATACTAATCAATGATTACCCTGAACTATAGACTGGTTTTGAAGTGTCTTCTACTACCGGTCTACGAGTATTTACTATGAAGTCCACTGTTTTTAAGATATATTGAGATGAAAATGGTGGTATTTTCTGTGATACTATAGTATCCCTAACCCAAGAAAGATCTAGTTGTGATAACTTTCCATGTTCTGCTAGTGTGATTATATAGGGAAGAAATGTCAGAGAACAATCAAGCTACTCATTAAAGGAATAATAAAAGGCCAGTCCCCTAATTAATTTGTCATCTCCAATCCATACTTACCATCTATGGTAAGTCCTGTAATAACAATTCCATATTACCTTGGGTGTCGATGCTGATATAGTACACTTAAAGTATGAAGAAAATTGGCCTTATGCAGATCAGTTGTTCTATTTCTGATTTTGGGGAAAATGATATCTTGCAAAGAGTCATGACTGTTCTTAGGGATTATCTTCAGCTAAAGATTTTAGCACACAGTTAATGAAAATAAATGTATTTAAAATTATAGGCATCTGAATCCTTTAAAAATTAGGAAACGTGTGTATATATGCTGATATATGATGATCCGATAGCTTCATCAGTTTGTAATTTAAAGTTTGAATTGCTCATTTTGCCCCCTGGGGTAAACAATGAACTATGACATATTTGTGGCGGGTAGTGATGATTATAACCATTATATTTAAGAATAGGACACCCAATTTTCTCTCATTCTTCTTTAGGTCGAGATTTAATTTGTATCCAGTCCATGGATGGGATGCTGATGGTGTTTGAGCAGGAAAGCTACGCTTTTGGGAGGTTCCTCCCGGGCTCTCTTCTGCCCGGCCCTCTCGCCTACAGTGCGCGGACCGACTCCTTCATCACAGTCTCCTCCTGCCGACAAGTGGAAAGTTACAAGTACGTTTGGACGTCCAGTCTTTGAAATCACGGCTTTTGCTGTGTATGTTGCTGAGTCATTCTTTTCTACAAAGAGCTTGAATATCACAAATGAAGAAGAGCCTTTTCTTTTTTTTTATAAAACGTAATTGTGGTGAGTTAGAGCAGCGATTTTCAACCTGTTTGCCGGGGCACACTTGGTGAGCCCCATGAATTTTTAAAACAGGAGAACCGACCTCTTTCCCCTTAGATTGCCAAATAAAAAAATGACAACAGTCAACACAACAGTAGCCATCCGATGTGAATGAATCAAAATTATACCTATTTTTTTTTGTCAGATCAGCAAAAAATATATTTTTTGGTGTGCTGCAGAATTCTAGTGATTATTTTATATGTGCTAGGGACGAAAAGGCTGAGACTCACTGACCTAGGGGTGCTGTTTGCATGTGGTAGAATATTTGGGGGGCAGTCGAGTGCAGAGGCCGAGAGGAGGGCTGTGCAGCGAGGCAGACCTGGACTGGAATCATGGCTTTGCTGCTCACAGCTGTTTCATCGTCATTGTCCTTGTCCTGGCTGTAAAGGCATAATAGTGGTTATTTGAAAGAGAAAGAACTCATGCACACCCATGACACTTTGGTGACTGTGTGGGGGAGGGGGGAGGCTGAAGAGGGTATATGGGGGATAAATGGGGGGAAAAATAATGCCCTGTTTGGTTTGGCTCAACGGTTAAAGTGTCAACCCTTGGACCAAAGGGTCAAGGGTTCGATTTCTGGTCAAGGGCATGTGCCTGGGTTGCAGGTTGGATCCCTGCCCCAGTTGGGGTTCTGTGGGAGGCAACCAATCGATGTATTTCCTTCCACTCTATCTGAAAATCAATGGAAAAATATCCTCAGGTGAGTATTAACAACAACAACAAAATAAAATAAAGGGGAAAAAACCCATACAATAAAAACAATGGCTATTTGACAAGTTTTTTTTCAAGGATTAAATGTATGTCAAGTTGCCATAGCAAATGTTCAATAACTGTTGGGACTGTTCCCTGAATTATAAATAATAAAACACAGTGTCAGTGAAAAAGACCTGATACAATGATGCATATATGGAATTATTTTGTGACAAACAAAGAACGTGTATGCACATAGGAAGAATACTGGCAAGAAATAGAAGTGTTGTTATGAGTGTTTATGAAAGAACAATTCATAAGTGAAGTATGAAAATGACCCTGTGAGAGTAGTTTATACTTTTTGTAGAAATCCTTATTGATTTTGTTGACTTTGGTTTAGAGAGACCTTTTTGTCCTCTACCAGCTACATTTCGATAAAAATTAAGGCTTTGAGTTTCGGAGGGTGTGTTTTTTGTCGGAAGGGAGAATGTTGAAAAGAAAATCCATTCTAGGAAAAGGAATGGACTTGGAGACTTACAGTAACTTCAGTCACTTTTTTGTTGTTATCTTACTGATGGCATCAGTTAGAACTTCAAGTGTCTAAGCAACACTTCATTGTAGTTTTTCGGTATTATTTTTGGCTGCCCGTTTTCCCCAAGGCCGGAAGAAAATATAAATTAATCAGACAACAAGCTGTAAATTCTTGCCTCCAAGTTTCAATACCGTGTATGTAGCAAGGTAATGCAGAACTCTGAGAAAAGGCAAATGTTTGTGACTAAGCAGAAGTGAGCTGAAGGAGGCAGTCTGTCATTATGTCACATTCCTCCTGTAACTCCTGTGGCTCTCGTCCAAAGGAGATGGACGAACTGTGGCATTGCTACTGGTAATAAATAAAATATAGTTATCTTGAGAGGTTGAGAAAAGTATCTGTATAATACATTCAAGCCTGTCAAAACTTAAGCAATATTGAGATCTGCTTTTCAGCTTTCCGCCCAGGCCTGTGTCTCAACTCTTGCCAAGCAGTGATGCTGGCAGTACTACCCAGGGGTCACAGCACGGGGATTTGAACGCTCCATGACTTACTCGTTGAAATATGTGCATAGGAATCGATTTGGTAATAACTCCAGGAGTCATTGGACGAGGGAGCAATGTGTAGGTTTCCTTAATGTGTAAATTTAATCCCAGAAGCTCACACTGTTTTAACTGTGGTGATTCAACATACCAATCTATTAAATTCATCTCCATCTAGGACTGAAAAATACACACTTTTTATGTGGGTCTTTTATAATGGTAAACATGCATGGGATAGGTGATTATTGTGAAATGATGATGATCAAGAGGGCTTATAACATTAAATAGCATGTTGTATTTATATGTGCTTTCAAGTTTAATAGATAAAATTAAATGATAATCACAGGTGCAATTTAGGATGGGAAAAGCATGAAAACTGCAGATTCTTTTGAGACTTCACTAAATATACTTATAACCAGTTAATAGAATGTAATCAGTTAGTATAAAAAGCTTTAAAGACAGAATTCATTTTTTTTCTGAGTTTAATCTTCAAACTTTAATGAAAATGGAAAAAAGTTAAATTAGATCTGACAAAGAAAAATAAAAATGATCAAGGTTTAGAAGAGATAAGAAAACATGGTAGATATTTAAGAAACAGTTTCACTTATAAAAATTAACTAAGAATCCAGCCGGTGTGGCTCAGTGGTTGAGCATTGACCCATGCACCAAGAGGTTGCTGGTTCAATTCCTGGTCAGGACACATGCCCAGGTTGTGGGCCTGATCTCCAGTAGGGGGCATGCAGGAGGTGGCCAATTGATGTTCTCTCTCATCAATGTTTCTATCTCTCTCTCCCTCTCACTTCCTCTCTCTCTAAAATCAATAAAGGAAAAAAAATTAAAAAAAAAACAACTAAGAATTTTGACAAAATGTTTCTAACAAGAAAGTTTGTAGGAAAATCGTTTTAAATCATAGGGGAAAACAATTAAAAACAACCCAAGGAGTCAAAATAGGAGATCAGATAGTTAAACATTTATATATCATTTTTATTTTTGATACTGATGTTTAATTACTTGACAACAAGTAATTAGTCTGTGGGTCTCAGACTTCAGTGTGCATAGAATCACCTGGGAAGCTTGTTATAAAATGCACATTTTCAGATTCCCAATCCCTAATACTCTAGATTTTGATTTAGTAATTTTGGGAACAGTCCCAGAAATTGTCATTGCAAATACACACTCCAGGTAGGATTCTAATTCAGAGACACATGTTGAGTGTTGCTTTTCTTTGGAAGTGAGAGAATTGTTTGCCTTTTTTGGAGAAGGTAGCTTAGATACCATTATTCTCTTGGCCATATTTATTAAGACCTTGAATCATTTTTAATTCTCTTTTTCTTGTCAAAATTATTTAGTTAGTAAATTCTGATCTTTCTCCTTTTTTCTCTCTCTCTCATTCGTCCCTTGCTTCTGTTCCCACTGGCGTTGAGGCCTCGGTCTTTTCGCTTGGATTTTTGGTCTTCTTACCTCTAGATTTTAGGGTCCTTCTTATAACCATCTTTTTAAAACACAATTTTAAAATTCTTTAAGCCAGAATTTTTGTTTCCCATTAAAAACTCCAAAATTTTATTTTAAAAAAGGGGAATTTATTGGGGTAATATTGGTTAATAAAACTATATAGGTTTCAGGGGTGCAATTCTATAATACATCATCTGAATATTATATTGTGTGTTCATCACCTCCAGTCCAAACTTTCTTATATTGACTTTTAGTGCCCTTTATAACCCAGTCCCATTTTACCGCTTTTATGTTGACTTTCAGATTTGGAAGGGACGTTTAAAGTTAACTGGTTCAACTAGCCTCCTTTTTTCACCTCCTAGATACATTTTTGCCGGGAACACCGATTTTTGCACAATATCATATATTGCCTTCTTGTATTGTGCTGAGATGTTCCAGAGGATGTCTTGCATTTTCAGGTTCCTGAGAGCAGAATCTGTCTTAAATATCTGGTCACTGATGGAATAATTTGGTTTACTGGTTCAATCATTCATTCAGAAAACATTTTTCAAGAGGCTTCTATTTGCCTCAGACTGTGCAAAGTACAGGAAATGCAAAGTCAAATAAGACCTGTCTCTTGTCCTCAAGCAGTATGTAAGCAAGTGTGGGAGGTAGCAAATCAATTGACTGTTTCAGTTCATTGTGGTACAGGGTATAGGAGAACTGGGCACAGCTACTGAGGAGGCCTACAGGTGAGACCTTTAAAAAAAAGTGTTGAATGTAGGGAGAGGCTCCCTGAAGAAGTATATGTATTTGTCATACGTTTTATTTTTCTCTCCTCTATGCTCTACACTTCCCTGCGCTCCTACAGTGGCCCCTAGTCCACTGTAAGGAGATAATAAACTTTGTCTCCTCTCTTACTCAGGTTGTACTCTATCTGAAATATTCTTCCTTCCTTCTGTGCACATGAAATCACATCTGGAAGCCTCCCTGCTCCCCTCTATTTTTTCTGTGACTTGGCTTTAAGTAACATCTCCTTCTTCTCAATTTAGAGTAGGTTTTCACAAGGACTGTTCATGCTTTCATTGCTATTACGTATTTGCTTGTTTATCTTCTTGACTGGGCTAGGTGATCTTTGATGGCAGGGATTTTGTATCCTCTGAAGTGCCCAGCACTGTACCTTGTTGAAAGGACGTGTTTAAGAAGAACTTGAAGGAGGAGTGAATGTTTGTAAAGAATGTTTCTATTTTGTTACCGGCTTCTTTTGATGAAAATGATTCTCTCTGGCACAATCAAGAATGTTTAGCTGCAGCTGAAAAGGAACAATGTACGGCTCTGTATCCTCGAGCTTTCCATTTCTAGCCGAGTTCTCCGAGTTAAATATCAAGGTTCCAAAATCTCTTGTTATCCTTTGAGGTGCCAACAATGTTTCATTGGAAAATAAATGATTTTGGAGGGTTTACTTTTGTGCTCTGTGACACCTCCATCCATATTTTAGTTACTTGCTGCTGTTTTTACGATGTGATACAGAAGAGCACTAAATTATGTGGTTGAGTTTGTCATTGGTGCTCCACAGGACCCATTAAGCATTTGTGGCTTTTTGGGCCAAAAAGCACCACTGTTCACCTGAACGTGC